AAAGAAAAACACAAACACCACGAACAGAAAAAAAAAAAAAAGAGGGGGGGGGGGGGGAGAGGGGGAGGAGGAGGAGGAGGAAGAGGTGGAAGGGGAGGAGGAGGAGGAGGAGGAGGAGGAGGAGGAGGAGGAGGAGAAGTAGTAGTAGTAGTAGTAGTAGTAGTAGTAAAGTTTGTTTCAGATAGGCAGCAGTAGCGGCCCACACCTTTAATCTCAGCAGTTGGAGGAGGCAGAGGCAGGCAGATCTCTGTGAGCTGGAGGCCACCCTGGTCTACAGAGCAAGTTCTAGGACAACCAGGGCTACACAGAGAAATCCTGTCTCAAAAACAAACAAACAAACAAAAAATAGCCAGTCAGTGGTGCATACCTTTGATCCCAGCACCTAGGAAGCAGAGGCAGGCAGATCTTTGTGAGTTCTCAGCCAGTATGGTCTACAAAATAAGTTTTCAGGCCAGCCTGCTATTACACAGAGAAAACCTGTCTTAAAAAACAAAACAACAAAAACAAAATTTCCCCCAAAACCAAATTATTTGTATACGTATAAGTTGTTTTCCCTGCATGTATGCATGTGCCCCACATACATGCCTGAGGAGGTCTGAAGAAGGCATTAGATCCCCTGGGCTTGGAGTTACAAACAACTGTGAGCCATCATCTATGCGCTGAGAACAGAACCCTGGTCCTCTCCAAGCGCTGTAAGTGCTTTTAAATACTGAGCCATAGTTCCACCCCCTTTAAAAATACAGGTTTTGTTTTTTCAATTCATACGTGTATACAATGTATCTTGATCATTCCCACCCAAATTCCTTCTCTGAGTCTCTCTGCCCAGTCACTCCTAATACTTACCCGCTCTGCTTTCTGTATGTCTTTTTTATGAAGTGATAATGGAATGCCTCAAGCATCAAAATATCACCACAATCTTATTAGTTCGTTATTAAGATCATATTGAAGTGTGGTATTCAGATTGCCCAGGGCTGTGGCCTAAAATGAACGCTCTAAGACTTTGCCTTACATTATTTTCCAGTAGGTCTGAAATAGACTCAGAATCTTTATTTTAGTGACATTGTCATGCTATTTTTACTTCCAGTGAAATGGAAGAATCACTTATTTGAAAGGTACCCATTATATGTCTTTTCTCATGAATCAATTTCATAGTTTTATGTTAAACTTTTAAGTCTCTTAGAATGTTTATACTTTAAGACCAGAAAAACCTACTCCTGCTGTAGGTGTCTTTGTATTTCTAAATGATATTCATAGATGATATAATTAAACAGAACCAGAATGGGAAACAAGACTGCATAAGATGTGGAAAGACTTTATCTAGTAAGAGGAATCCTGGGTTGTAGATGCCTCTCGTTTTCAAGCGCTGTTACTGGGGCAGAAACATCTGCAGTAGGAGGTTCTCAGACATGAGTAGACGGAGGGAGATGCTGCAGGTCATCTGGGCAGATGAACAGCTAACTTGTAATGTCTGGAAGATCACCCTGTACCAAAAGAGGCTTTTAGTCTGACAGAATTTTGTATCTGACATGACATTCAACTCACATTTTGGGACTGACTCCTCTCACCCCAAATTTAGTCTTGGTTTAAAAATATGAAGGGGGGGACATGCCTTTAATCCACTATAACTTCACACCTTTAAGCACTTGGGAGTCAGAGGCAGGTGGATCTCTGTGAGTTGAGGCCAGCCTGGTCTACAGAGTGAGTTCCAGGACAGCCAAAGGTACACAGAGAAACTCTGTCTCTAAAAAAAGCAAAAAGCAAAAAAACAAAACAAAACAAAAAAACAAAAACAAAAACAAAATGAAGAACTAGGCATGGTGGCTGATGCCTGTAAAATACTAGCATGTAGGAGGCTGTGGAAGGAAGATCACAAAATCAAGACCAGCCTAAGCTACACAGAGAGCACTGATCCAGCCTAGGCCACAAAGTGAAACTTTGTCTCAAAGACAACAAATAAGAAGGAAGAAAGGAAAGGAGGGGGAGGGATAGGTGAGAAGAGAGGAAAAGACACTATCAATACCTTCCTACCCACAATCCCACTGTTCATGCTTGCTGAAGAAAGAGAGGATGTCTGACTGAAGGTGAGTCCATCACATGTTCCCTTGGGAGAATTTGAATCAAAAGGCAGAGGTCAAGGCTGTTTCTCCCGGGCAGTGTTCGGAGATACGGGTGCACTGAGACAAACATTACTACTGTAAATCAAAGACACATGTATGAGTGAATCCCCAAAGCCTTGGGAAGCCAAAAAAAGGATTCTATCAAGCAAAAAGCAGAAATGAGGACCATCTCATCCTCTGAATGGTAGTTGTCAGATGAGTACATATCCTGAGATAGCATTCTGCATTTTAAAACCACCTTCCCTGAGATGCCTACCTGCAATCTTGGAGCTGAGGTGAAATTTTGGTTCCCATCAACAGTCTAATTAAGACAATGATGTACTTAACAGCCACAATTTCAGAGTAGTTAAGGAAGGAAGCACACTTCCTGTGTGTGTGGACATGCTCAACTTCCTGTGAATTCAGGTAGTGTTGAAGCTCAAGCTTACAGCATCAAAAAAGTAGGAAGTTCAGTCAGTTAAGTCATGAATCCAGGGCAAAAACATTCCAAAAGAGAGGGCTTGGATGCAGGTCATCGGTAGAGTGCACACCCAGTACACACAAGGTCCTGGGTTTGATCCCCCTGGAGTTGGGGGAGGAGATACTCTTAGGCAAGATAACATACTACTGATAGAATAAAGTATAAAATGAAGGGCATTCATAACTACCAGGTTTTGGGCTACACAGATATATGTATGTATGTATGTATGTATGTATATTTTCCTAGTCTTACTAGTTGTAATTATAGCTTTAATGTATTATACTATTGACATATATTCACTTTTTGATAATTGATCAAAATATGGCTGAGGTTATACTTTTTCAGGGTTAGCAAAGGTATACCTCTGCACAGTGGACTGAAATTAGATTTTTAAAAATGTCTTACTGTCTTCATCTAGTTCCATTTTACTTTCTCCATCTCACTGCTCCTAGCAAAGTATGAATTCCAAAGGAACTATGATGGAAGTGCTGTGCTGGCCAGAACACCAACTGCTGGCTGTCACTTTAGAAAGCTCACTTGTAAGAGATATGCATTGCATTAGCACAGGTAATGGCCACTCGTATCTCTGCACCACTAATAAGGAGGAATTCAAGTCTAGCTAGACTGCATAGTCAATAGAATGTACACAGGAGAGTGGTGTGTGCCACTTCTGTATCATGGGCTTCATTTACTCTTTTCTCTCCTAATGAGCTGGAGGGAGCATGTTCTGAAGAGCAATTCTGGGGCAGAAAAATGAAGCCAACACCCTAAGGCTGACAAAGCAATAACCTCATTCTGTTACTGAGCCACCCTTTAGAGGTCTTTGTATTTGTGAGCCTCTTTTGTTCATAACAGAAATTTATAAAAGTACAGAACAGGGAAATGATAGATACACCACTGTATAGTGAGTGAACTTAGATCAAAGGTGGGTAATAAACAAAAGTCCTAAGAGGTGAATGTCCACTAGTGTAAGTGAGATCTTTAAGAAAGGAATGTGCTGGCCAGGTGGCAGTGACACACACCTTTGATCCCAGCACTCAGGAGGCAGAGGCAGTCGGATCTCTTTTGAGTTCTAGGCTAGTTCTGGTCTTCAAAGAAAGTTCCAGGACAGTCTCCAAACCTACAAAGAAACCCTGTCTCGAAAAACCAAAAAATAAAACAAACAAAAATTGTTTGTTACAATACAATTGATGTGTATTTACCAATAAGCAAATGAGTGTTGGTGCTGTTATCTCCTCTTTATGGCTGGACATTTAATTCATCCCATGATCTCATTCATGGCTGATGCTCAGTAAGTATTTGGATGTTTGCTTACTGAATCACATAGGGTTAAAGAGCACCAGCTTTTGCTAGAAAATATGCCTTGTGAAACCGACAGATGCTGGAATGATCCTGAAGCACACTGTCCCATTCTGTGTTTAATGAAAAAATGGCTTAGGGAGTCTTCTGTACTCTGGGTCTTGAAATTGAAAGGCACTTAAATTTCACTTTGAAAAAAGATGCCTAGTCTTGGAAGTCATAGACATGGAGCTGTACTGGAAAAATATTATTTTATTAACTTGTTGGCACATACAACATAGAATGACTTTGTTCTGGCAAGAGTGCTTCATTCTGGGAACTCATCTCTCCCTGCAGGTCTTACTCAGGAAGCAAGCTTGGGAGCAAAAAGCAAATAACACGTCATAAAAGCCCTGTGTGCTCTGAAGAGCCAGAATTTGCCTAGGGCTGCTATGGAGTTGCAGAGGGCCTCTGTAAACACAGTTTTCCCAACAGGACAGGTCTACTGAAAACATGAACTCACAGCAGCTTCGGCTGCATGCAAAAAGCCTAAGAAAGATCAAGACAGTCAAGATTCCAACATGGGTTTTGGGGAGGAGCTGATGGCTGCTGGGGTAGGGATTTGACAGGCTTCTTCAGGTAGGTTGCCCCCACTCCAGTGAACGGCATTATACCCATGCACATATCCACAGCCACAATTCAACTCAGTGATTATACAAAAAAGTATATATGAAATTGGGAGAAAGATCTGGGAGGGGGGATCTGAGAGGAATTGGAGGGGAGGGACTATGTGATGGCTCATTCATATATATATATATATATATACATATATATATATATATATTATAATGCATCATTTGGAAAAGTAATACTGACACTGAAGAAATGTCTCAGGGGTCAAAAACACTTCTTGTTATTCTAGAGGAACCAAGTTTGGTTCCTGGCACCCATATCAGGTGGCTCAAAATTGCTCTGACTTCAGCTCCAGGGATCCAATGAGCTCTTCTGACCTCTATGAGTACCCC